GAAACGAACTCTCCAAAAGAACCGGTTCGCGGAAAAGAACCGGACTTCCCGCAGGCATTAGTTATTTTCCCTGGTTTTCATCATTTGAATCTAAATTCTTTTCCATTGAGGGGAGAAAGGAATGTTGCTCAACAGTTCTCAGGTTTGTTTGGACATGCTGCATTTGTGCTTCAGGAAAATAATTAGATTTCTTGATCAGGTGTAATACAGAAAAGCCTGTTTAAAAAAAAAGATAATTGCTTTGATTCAGACTCCCTCTAGTTCTTAGAAAGACATTCGAATGAATAGAACCCAGGAAACAGGAAATGCCTTTGTGTAGAGGAAAATTAGGTGTGACCATTCCAAATGTAAGTTCCCTTAACTGAGGGAAATACAATACAAATACTCTCTCATGCAGACCATGCCACACAGACAATATTCTTTAAACAAAAGTTACAACAAAAAATCTAATAGCATTTTATTTTGGATTTATGATATCTCCAATATATCTCCAATATCTTTAAGGCCCTATTTGCATTGGATATTACAAAAATATCTATAGCAAGGACTATAGCATGCAGTTTATTCATCTTACCCCAATGAGTAATCCTCAATAAATTGTACTAAATAAATCTTCTAACAAATGCAAATGTGCACTATATAGAAGTAGGCTACATCTTGTTTTAAGGATGTTTAGATCATTTTATTAGGAAAAAAAATACTTGTCAAGAAATCAGATAACATGGCAGGAGGGTTCCCTGAGACATTTACTTAAATTACACTTTTGCACAGTCATGCTTGCATAAATGTCTACTGAACAAGATTTGCTCCCTTGTTAACTCTTCACTCTGTTGTATTAACTCTTCACTCTGTTGTATGATCCTATTCTGACAATTTCCAGATGTTACAGTATAGAAGTATAGATTTTTGTCTATTTCAATTTCAGATAATACCAGAAAAGTGGTATATTACACGTGGAGTGTTTGAATAAATTGCTAAATTGCAAAGATATTAATGTAGCTGTTTTTAAATTATACACTATTTATATTTACAATTATACCCTATTTATATTCATAAAAATTGTGTTTCAGGAAATAATATATGTTTACCATACTTAATCAAGGTAGGGACTGAAATTAGAATCTGTTTTTAATTGAATAGTGGTCAACGTGACATTAAAATTCCAGCTGCAGAAAGTTCTTACTGAATCTGGTTTTTGTTCGCAGATTAAATTACTCCATACTCTAATGTCTCAGGACAATGTTTTTTTTTTCTCAGGAAGCCCCCAATACTGCCCACACTTGAAGGGCAGACTTAAGGTTAAAATCACAAGTCCGTGCTGCATATATGAACCGCCGATGTTCTGTGTGACCTGGAGATTCTATGTCTGACCTGGTCTCGTCTGTCTGATTGCATCACAATGGTTTAACTTTCATGTTTAAACATCTCTTGTGTGAACTCTATTTTGCAATGGGCTGTGTTGTTTCCCCATCACAGGGGAGGACCAAAGAGTAGGGAAAAAAATTTATTCCTTGGCTCTGTCCTGATAAAGTACAGCTCAAGATAAATAGTAAGAAAAAATATCAAAGCAAAAACACCAAAATTAAATTCACATCATAAATGTATTAATCTAAAAACACAATACTGTGCCATTGGAAAAATCAAGCCAATGGAATTGGTGCCCCCTGTTGGTCATAAAATTTTAGTGCCATGGATTTTACTTGGATTTTTTTTTTTTCCCTCAGTAAACTTTAAAATAAACACAAATTAAAAATAAACATATAGACACACATACTACGTTGACCTAATTCGATTATATAGATAAATAAATCACCCAACTGATCAGTGATCATCAAAGTGATAGTGAACAGATGTTTTAAGAGAAGAGTAGAGAAACTGGACAGATCACATAATTAACCTTTCGCTAAATATTTTTGCTATCAAAGAGTATTGAAGAGCAAAAACATTGGTATGGTGATAAAAAAGACAAACTTGCGTATAGTGTGCAATAACTTACAAAACAAGACATTTTCCACGATTTTTCCATTTTCCTATCCAAATACGAAGGCATAGGAAAGCCATGCTACGATGAAAGCAATTTACTACAAGAAATAAACTACAAAAACTGTTTTCAAATCTGGAAAAATATTTTTTTGACAATTACAAAAATTGTTGCGATAATACAGTAGCAAGCACATACGCTGACAAGAAGAAGCTTACGAGAAAAAAAAATATATATATATTATATAATACCATAAAAAGTAATATTAAGAACACAGATTTTTGTAAAAATTGTACTAGCAATTTTTTTTATTGCAAGACAAAAAGAAAACAACACGAAACAGCACTGCATTGACATACAATAACATAAAGGGAAACAAACAAACAACAACAACAATCAATCAGTAAGAAAAATATTGTCATAAGCCTTAAGAAACTTGTTATTCTTATTGCTATCAATGTGTTTAATAGATTTAACAATAAGCAAAATCTCTGCAAGAAAGACATAAAATCTAGGTAACATGTTGAGAAATTTGGTTTAATGAATAAAACATTCATAATGCATAAAAAAAACAAAAAAAACCCCAACAAGATCTATAGCATGGTCACTGCCAGAAAAATAAAGAAATATATCTTTCAGTGAAAATTTTTAATCACACTTTATAAAAGAAGATAAATTACAACTTAAGTTCTCCCAAAGAGATTTAACCTGATTGCAATGAATAAATGAAGTAAAGTTTCTTCCAGAATACACATAAGTTAGAGCAGGGGTGTCAAACTCAGTTCCTGGTGGGCTGCAGCCCTGCAGAGTTTCGTTCCAACCCTGCTCCAATACGCAAACCATGCAGTTTTCAAATAAGCCTGAAGGACTTGATTAGTTAGATCATGGGCCTGTACCATGATGGTAGATGAACAAATTCAGAGTTACAGGATTAGTTTTGAGTTGACAAAACCAAACCACTCCAATCCGGCTTTGTTGGTACCATGATGCCGATCATCAACTTTCTTTGTCAACTCAGGTTTTGATCCTGAGTTTGTGGTGCACGTGCACATGAATTTGTGACATCACTGTCGAACAGCCAATCACGAGCCTTGGTTAAATGTTAAAGGTTTTGCTAAAGCGTAAGAGATAGAAGAATATGATGAATTTAATTGCATTACAATGAAAAAAGTACTTGTTCATGAAAGAGGACAAACAAAAGAAATTATCTTGCTTTATCAGTGCAGTCACAAGTGAAACTTGTTATAGACTCGAACATGTAAGGTCACGTAGTCATTTTTAAAGCATTATCTATTGATTCTACAGCTTATTTATATTACATACGATCTGTATATATTAACATTCATTTAAAATAAATGATTTATAATAACTGTTAAACTAAAATTGCTTGTGTGTAATGGATTAATAATAATATAAATCATATAAAATAACTCTTAAGTAATTATCATTAAAGCCAGACATTTATTTAGTACTACTGACCTTTAATGTGGAACAAGATAAACTGGGGGAGTGACTTTTTTGTGTCAGACATGCCACTTTGCTCACATCTGATTGGTCCAATTTCAGTTTGAGATCTCTTACCCAGAACATAACCTGCCCCGGAGCAGGTTAGCTATGAAGTGCAAGTTACTATGGCAATGAACGCAGCTAAAAGCCAGGCCACATTCATGGTACCTAAAACCCAGGATTGGTGCAAACTAAACTGAAACTTACCTGGCTAGCCAGCTAATCCGGCTTCATAGTACAGGCCCCAGGTGTGTTTAGTTAGGGTTGAAGCTAAACTCTGCAGGGCTGTGGCCATCCAGGAACGGAGTTAGACACTCCTGAGTTAGAGAGATCAAAAAAATAATTGGATAAACATTATGCAAAATCTTTAAATGTACCTCTCTGATTTTATTAGAAATGCAGAACTTTTCAGGAAGTAACCATGCTTTCTTCCAATGAATACTGTCAAAAAAAATTGGTCCAGAAAAATGGTCCAATAAACGTTTGGACATAATTGCAAAAATCTCTGCAAGATCTCTCATTAAAGCAAATGTATGCTTTAAATAAATGCACATAACTTGGAGACAAACTTTTGATGACAGAATGGAAAGATCTAGCTGGCAGAGGAAAATGAATTCTTCATACTCCAGTATAGTACCATCATCTTTAAATAAATCCAAAACAAAAACAATACCTCTGTCATGTACTAGCAAACTAATTAAGAGACATTCTATTCTTTGACGTGACAGAACGTTGCTGTGCAACAAAAATCAAAAATCTACTGTGTGTGTTGCGCAGTGATGCTTCACGTCAAAGCTGTTATTACAAAATGGTCCAATAAACGTTTGGACATAATTGCAAAAATATCTGCAAGATCTCTCATTAAAGCAAATGTATGCTTTAAATAAATGCACATAACTTGGAGACAAACTTTTGATGACAGAATGGAAAGATCTAGCTGGCAGAGGAAAATGAATTCTTCATACTCCAGTATAGTACCATCATCTTTAAATAAATCCAAAACAAAAACAATACCTCTGTCATGTACTAGCAAACTAATTAAGAGACATTCTATTCTTTGACGTGACAGAACGTTGCTGTGCAACAAAAACAAAAATCTACTGTGTGTGTTGCGCAGTGATGCTTCACGTCAAAGCTGTTATTACTTATCCACGACTGGAACTCTATTGACCAATCAGAAGCCGGGACCGGAACTATCTTTAAAAAAAATAAACAACTAACTACGTTCAGCCCTGGGAAAGCAAATATATACAGTTCAGTTGCTGGTTTAACAGACAATAGGCTATTTATCCCTTCGCCACACACTAACCAACTTTATTCTTTATTATTATTATTTCTGGATCAAATTATTAACGATAACAGTATTTTGTAAATATTGTGCTAAGAAAATATTTACGTTAACATTCACAAGTTTACCCTTTGAACCGATTAAAATGAAATAGTCCTGCCCATTAGATGGTTTCTCTTTGAACGACGCAGGCATTTTCCTGTCAGCTGACGCAGAGGGCGTGTTTACGTCGCTGATGTAAACAGAAAGGACCATTTTGAGCAGAGAAATCTAGAAGCCAGGGTACAGTAACTCATCAAAGCTTTTCAGTTTTCACCTATGCAACGCCTTAAATAGTACTCGCGCCATGGACTTCTATATCAGCCTGAAGGTGAATTTTCGAGGGAACGCGAAGAGTTTCTTGCTGTCTGGCTCGGAGACGAAGAGCTGGGAGTCTATGGAGGCCACGGTAAGCAGAGGCTGATGAGGAGATGTCAGTCTGAGCACTCACCTTGATGCCGCAAAGCCTTTCACCCCGAAGCCGTCCGATGTCTGCCTCATGCGATTAGAGTAGGATTACTAGACATCTTTTGTGACTTTTACTACCAAGTGTGCTGCTTCGACGAGCGGAATGGCGTAAAAGCTCATTCATTTAGAAAGAATGGGCCAAGCGACCATTTTGCCGAAAGCCCACGAATTAAATAGCAGCCGTAATTACATCTAAGAAAGTATATTATATCTGGCGTGCGCAGATCTTCTAACGTTTAGACCATAATTACAAAGGGGGTTTGGCACACTGAGGAGAGGGAACACCTGTCACGTCTGTAGATACCAGTGCTACGCTCTTTGACCGCAAATCTGTTTCAAGCAAATGTCATTTGGTGGTCTGCTTCAAAGCGTCCTGTGATCGTGTCAGTTTGGAGCAACGTACAGTCAGCATTTCGACATCGCCATAGGCCAGTCAGGGTCTAAATATCACCCTGAAGGGGTTTATTTTGGGAAACGACGGTACTTTATCCCCTTTATTACAAGGCTACTTGCCACATAAGTATATTAATAAGAAGATTATTTGAGGTGAAAGTCACTCATTTACCTTACTTTGTGGAGACCGCAGAGAAACAGGTTGCCCGGATGAGAGGTCGGTTGAGAGTAACGGTCATTTTCAAAATTTAAGTATTTCTTTTATGCTGAGGCCGGGATAGAGTGAGCTGAGGCGGGCTGGACTCCGCTTCGTCCATGGTAAAAGTTGATGTATTCCCTCATCGACCAGCACAGATCAGCTCTAGGCATGACGAAGCGGATATCGTCCTCTTTTGGAAGACCAAACAAAGTAGTTTCGCTTTCACAACGAAGCACACAGCGTCTTCAGGACATGGCTGCAGCGTCAACAATACTACAGCGAGAATAAAAGTTACGCCTTCTTTCTTTGCGTGAACATTTGGGAGGCGTTATGCAAATCTTTTCAGATCGTGACGTAGGTATGTGGGCGTGTGTCAGAACGAGCCATTTTATGTAGGCGTGGTTAACTCTTATCTTTTATAAAGAATATCTCTTTGGTTTTGAGATTTTAGTGTTTGCAACTTTACAGATCTTCTTTATGCACCAAGAGCTTGTAACACTCCAAAGAGAAAGGAAAAATTGAAATCGCATCATATGACCCCTTTAAAATAGCATCATATGACCCCTTTAAATATTTGTGACGTTGCTTGCATTGCACTGTTAGTAACTTGCTTTTTTCTATGAAAACATGAGACCTACATAATACAAAATTATTATTATTATTATTAATAATTCAAATAATAATTGTGTACGTAACTGTTTGTTTCAGGTATCAATCAACAGCCAATGTAAGTACAATGTCTTAATCTGTGTATAATAAAAACGTAATATGTTTACATCCAGCCACAATATGTTATAGCATTGATTGGAGTCTCTTTTTTTTTCAGTGGAATATGAAGAAGCCCTGAAGGTAAAAAAATTGTTGCTTACTCGCTGTTTGCTGCATATTACTCAGTTCGAGCAGCAAACCTCAACTTAATTAAAATACTAAAAGACAAAAAAAAAGTAAAGATGTAAACATATTTTTGAATTCTTATATTTTGATTACAACAGAAGTACCAGAGGTACAAAACTGCTTAGATAGTAGGGCTTTCGAATATTGTTTTGGACAAAGGGGTGCCTTGGAGTCAAAACGTTTGAGAACCAATCATTTGGAGTAGTCAGCCTATTATTGTGACTCTATTAAACCCATTGTTTTGGCAATCAACAAATGTCCAAAAGGAAATGCACTACATTGATGCACTGTGTTGTTGTTTGTAACTGTAGAGTGCTGCACGACAGGGGAACAGACTACAAATGAATGTGTATGAGACGAGGGGCAGTAGAGCCACAGTGCCAGGACCGGGCCCACCACCAGGGTCAGGGGTGGGCTTGGGCCAGGTAAAACCTGGTACTGCTGGAGAACCCAAGAAGGGATTCAGGCCTCCTCAGCACTGCCCTACTTTGGCACAAGTGGTGAGTCGCAAAGTTCAGGCTGCAGTCCCAGAGGAAGGATTGGTAAGATTTTATAACCCAATGATTTTGCACAATCACAGAAGTAGCCACAGTTGTTCACTATCGTTGTATCAAATTCTAGGCTGCAATTTATTTGGAATGATGCATTATAATATTATTAATAATCTAATAAAACCTTCATATTTTGATGCTTAAACCAGATAATGTAACTGAATTCTGATTACAGTTTTATTGTAGTTTGCATGAAATGTGATATACATTTGATAAAGGTTTCCAGATTGATGATTATTACAATTTCCACCATTGTAAGTTAATGACTGGTATGTCACATTTTTGACACATTTTTATATCCTGCTTTTGTATTAAAGGTAATTGTAAATGAAGTCAAAGGTGGGAAGGCAGAAGATAAGACCCCTCCTGCTTGGTTTACTTCATACATGGAAAAGGTATCCTCTTTTTTAAAAGCATGTTATTGATCCTATTTAGCTCCTACTCCGGAGCAGGGTCTTACCAGCACAACTGGTACTAATCGTGGCGTAAGTAGACATTGATTGGCCAAACGCGTACAAAAACGCCCTCACCCACCATGATTTAAAACGCAGTGCAAACATACTGTAAACATTGTGTCAACTTATTTCGCAAGTATGGAGAACAGCGATAGATGGACGGACGCTGAAGTGCTGGCACTTGTAGCAAATGTAGCACTGCTAGCACTCGTTGGAGATTCTTAGTCCTCCTTTCCGTTCTTTCAATCGCTTTACGTATATGTCGACTTTCCATGTCCATTATTGTGAAACCCGCGAGACACAACAAAAACACAGCTCCGATCACAGCGTCCTCCATCCTCCTGTTGTTAATGTTGTTCTTCTTTGTTTCTGTTGTTGAACGCTGCGCACAAATGACGTCGCTCTCGACCAGCTTACGTCACTTCTTAGTACACACTGTCGGTGCGAATGCAACCCTTTAAATGGTACTGGGAAATAGTTCGCGCAAAATCGTCCCAGTACTTTAGTACTGTACATTTAGTTCTGGAACTAAAGCGGTGCGAAAGGCCCTTATAACATGCTTTGGTTAAAGGGGTCTTATTATGCTTTTTCACTTTTTCAACTTTAATTAGTCTATAATGTTGCTGTTTGAGCATAAAAAAGATCTGCGAAGTTACAAAGCTCAAAGTCCAATTCAAAAGCAGATATTTTATTTAACAGAAATCACTTTTCAAAAACTACAACGAACGATTCGTTTGGACTACAACATATTTTCCAGGATTTGTGATATCACAAATATCGGCGAATGGGACGAGACCTGGTTGAGCTGCACTAGAGAAGGCAACAAGTGTTATCACTATGTCGGAGACATGCTAGCTTTCCCAAGGCAGACGAACTTAAGAGTGTTTACAATCATCCGGGTTTAAATCCTGCTCAAATTGATTTGATTTTGACTCAATAGTTACACTGAAGCTGGCATGCGGCTATGGTAAGGGGCGTGACATTTCCCGACCAGGGAGTAAATGATGACTGCTATGTTCATTATTACGTCCAACAACAAAACACCTCAATTGCTTAGGAGCCATTCTTGTCTACTCCTGTTCCGGCATCGAAATAATGGCAGACCGATGACAGCCAAAGTCCCTTTCAAGGAAAGTCCGTTCACTCGGCCACCATATTTGCAACGCCTCCGGGCAGCTCAAACAAGACAAAGTCCTATCTAAATGAATGGAGGAATCCTGAAATCTTAAAAACTGCTCACTGAACTTGCGATTAAATTACATATATCAAATCAGCAACAAAATTTGAAATTAACTGCCCTATGAATGTTGTTTCTTATGCTCAAATAGTGTTTAAAAAGCTTATTTTTCAGGCTAGACAATGCGCATGCGTAATCATAACGCGCTTATGATATGCATGCGCATCGCTGGTCCAGCCTCAGGTTTCTATGGGAACTGTAGCCTCTAACAGCCGCTGCAGTGATGCAATGACTTTGCCAATCGACGATTGGCTCTTTCATTTAGAAGGCAGGACTATCCCACCATATTGCGCATTGCAGTGTCTCCCATTCATAAGTATATGAGTGAACTGTCTTTGTATTTCTATTTCCTTTGTGACCGCTCAATCAGGGCAGGTCTAAGGTAAAACGCTAGTGTCAATCAACAATCGTGGGAGGGGCCTGGGTCTGTGTGACGTCTGAGATGGGCTTGATTTGAGAAAGGGGAAATGATTTAACGAGATAAATAAAAAAAAAACACTGGGTGGATCTTTATCATTATAGGGTGGTTGTGTACACACACTGCCAACACATATTTCAGTTCAAACAACTTGTAAAAGTGCATGTCACATCCGATGATCCCTTTAAATTTCATTCTGATATTTTTAGCAGTAGAGACGAACCCTAATATTGCTAAGAAAACATGTTTGTCTCTATTTTTCTCTCTTCAAAATATGATAACTGTAACAGTTTAAGGACCAGGTGGTTAGGGAGGCAGTAGAGAAGATTTGTAGGGAGTTCTCTGGACAATGCTGCATCCATAAGCCAGTGGGAGCAGAGGCTCAGGTTCCTGAGGTCACCTCATCCACTCTCCCTGGGGCCCCAAGTTCAGCTCCAGCCTGCAGCAGCTGTCGGGGCCAGACCGCAGGCGGCGGATACCAATGCAGGTTAGAGAGAACTCTGTGAGGTGGATGTCTGTATCCGGATCTTATGATAAAAAAATGTTCTTCTATGGTACATTTCAAAAGGAAACGCATATTATGATTGATTGTATGAGAAATATAATGTATAACAGGATGCTCTAAAGGGGTGCCTTTAATTTTGTGTTTCTATTTTTGTGTTTCATTGTGTTTGGTTTCTTTCTGCACAGTGTGTGTACCTCCTGCACTCTGTGTGAGCCTTGCAGCTTCTCACATGATCCAAGCCACAACCTTGTGAGAGCCAGAACTCCTCTGTCTATTCCTGAGCACGGCTCCCCAGCACCAGATCACAGCAGGTGGGCATTTGTCCTCTGCTTTGGCATGTCTTGGTGTTAAAGTTCAGAATAGTTAAACATATTTAGCTCTCTCTCTGAAGGTTCTACAGAAGGGGTGACCGGAGCTTTCGTAAAGCTGAGAAGCAGCGTCTTAAAGCGGAGAAGCGCCAGCTCAAGGCGGAGGTGAAGGAGATCAGGAAGCAGCTGAGGATGGAGAGGAGAGGGCTGCAGTGGAGCACTGCTGGAGAAGGGAGCTCTTCACCTGTCCTACTGCAGCCACGCGCCACACAGGCAAACAGCCCAGAGTAAGAGCTTACACCCCTTTACCTCCTGAGGAAGAACATATTAAAGGGATAGTTCACCCAAAATTGAAATTTCTGCCATTTACTCAACCTCATGTTGTTCCAAACTCATATGATGTTATTTTTAAGAATCATTTTGATACAAACAGAACTGATGCCTTTATTCTTATATTTATATTTCAACTTCATAATATGTTTTCTGGTGTTTGAGAATAATAGTATTTATTTTACTTCCTTATTACCCCATTATGACTGGCTGAGCCATGTTAACGTGTAATATAGGAGGCCATGTGTTAATGTAGTCATTTAGCTAGCTGACACCAGAAAGTTTTTCTTTTTTATTTATAGTTATATATAATATAATAATTAAGAACTAATTTTATCTTATCTAAAACCTATATGTTCAAAATATTTTTTGGAAAGAAATGAATACATTTACAATGTTAAAAAAACATTGTCAGTCCCACAAAGAAAAAAAAACACCCCAACATATTAATTGACCGAACTGATCATAACAGTTTAAATGTAGTTAATGATAATAAGATGCCATTTAATTGATACTGTCGTGGTTGCAGTCGTCCTAAACGTCCATGCCCACTGGCTGTGCCAGCTATGACAGCTCTACTCTTGGATGAAAACCTCCCTGATGGATCACGTTTGCGTCCTGGGACCAAGTTCATCAAATACTGGAAGATGAAGAACAGTGGCAGAGTGTGCTGGGACTCTGAGACCAAGGTACACTTTGACTCTTAAACAGACACACACCAATCTGTTTACACACATACACAATAAAAAAATCTGAACCTGATTGTGTCCCATTTTGGCCTCAGTTAAAGTTCATGTGGGGGAACTTGGCAGTGGGCTCCGGTGAAAGATGGCGGGAGGTCGCAGTACCCACATTACAGCCAGGTCAGGTGGGTGTCATCAGTGTGGCACTTTGTGCTCCGACGTTAGAGGGCACCTATACATCGCATTGGCGCCTGGCACACAGAGGAGAGCAGTTTGGACCGCGTGTTTGGTGCAGCATCGTCGTGGATCCACATGCTCCCACAGCCATCTGTGCTGATGGGTTACTGGTGTCTCCCTGTGTCACCCCACAGGTAAGACATCCGGATCATACAGCAAAACAATAGAAGTTAAAAATTCTGAAAAATCGCTTGAGAAAGTGCTGTCCAAATTAGGTGGCCTGTAGATGAGCGCACAGAACAGTACAGTAGAGGTAGACTGTTATGCCACACACTGTACCTCAAACGATGAGAAAGTCCGAACAGAAACTGTCTGTATTTTTAGTGATTGTTTAAAAACCATAGCAACCCCACTTCCCCTACCAGCAGACCTTGGGGTACTAATAAAACAACAGTTAGACGGAAAAAGTTCAAAGTTCTGGGAGGAACACAGAAACTAATAAAATACATTCCTGATTCCAAAACTAAAATTGAAAACAGGCACAATTTATTTTTAGTTTATTATTTTTAGCTTTTGATGGGTACATTATACCACAACTTTTATACCACCATTTTTTGCAACCTTTACAACCCACCTGCATTAAACGTGGGACAAAAAAATGCTGGTAAACATTTTTAAATGATACCAGTTTGTGCATTAACTTTCACAGCCCTGAAATTACTAAAACTTAAACTGAAACTAGAAAACTATATATAATGTGGATTGAACTCATTTGAAAAGTCAAATTGAAAATATAAAGGGAAAAAAATACATTTTCTGGGGCCCAAATATAATGTTTTAGGTTTTTGACCAGTATAGATTTTATAGACTATTGTTAGTTTAGTTTAGTCATTTTTATTTTTCTGTGGGCATTTTCACCCTGTCTGTCACTTTCAGGAGAAGTCTTCCCGCACTCTTGAGAGGGAGGAGAAATGCCGGGCCTCAAGGGAACAGCTACTTTTGTCTGTAAACCAGGACTGTGATCAGGAATTCTACATTCCATCTGTGGACTTACTCACAGCTCAGGTATGGCCAAACCCATCATGTTTGTCATGTTTGACTCCATTGTCAATTCCACACTCTCTATTTTGTATTTACTTAGGACTTACTGTCTTTTGAACTACTGGACATCAACATCGTACAAGAGTTAGAGAGCGTGCCCAACAACACTCCTGCAGGTAACTTCAAATCTGTAACAAGTTTCTAAAAATTAGAATGAACAACTTTTATGGATTATGCATATTCATTTTAAACAATAACATATAAATATAAAAGATTTCAGCCTTTACAGTCTTTTTATTGTCTCTTTCTTCATCTCTGTAAATGTATGAAGACATTACCCCATGCATATCGCCTCTGCCCCATGATGGACCTCTTCAGGAGAAACCAACACTGGGACTCATCCAAGAGGAAACAGAAGCCCAAGGGGTCAGCAGAATCCTGGGTAAACATTAAAGCACAACTTTTCTGCACTTTTTGTCTGTGTATTGCTGTCAGTGATTGTGTAGCTTTTTATATTTGTGAACCTTTTTTTGATGTCATACTCACAGATGTGGCCCAGGCCACAGAGTTAGAGGGCATCCCAGCACAAGAGAAAGGAGAGGAGAGCATCATTGGGTCTTTGTTTAGTCCATCTGTTATCCGTTCTCTCACCCTTGAAGTGACCCGTGAAGTAGCAGAGCATGGGGTGCTTTGTGGGAGATGCCCAGCTAAGGGTTTGTGATGGCAGTGGTGGGAAGATGCACCTTTCTGCTTTTCCTGGAAATTACAGTTATTTTTATAATAGATGTAGTCAGACTGTGAATAAATTAGAAAAACGGTATTGATATTTTTTATTTTAGTGTTGACTTGATATAAAGTACTTTTGATATCCTTAGTAAGCATTTTGTAAACCATACACTACTGTTTAAAAATAGGGCCAGTAAGATTTTGAAAAATGAATGCTTTAATTTATCAAGGATGTATTAAATTGATCCAAAGTTACAATAAAGTCATTTTTAATGTTACAAAGGATTTCTCTTACAAATCAATTATTTTATCATGAACTTTTTATTACTTGCTATCAAAATTCTGTTCTTATGAACAAAAAACCTTAACAACAGTATAGTAATGTACATTGTTAGCAGTTTTTGTGTAGAAGGTAGGTAAAGAGTGTTTCTAAATTTTTTACATTTAATTTTTCCCATTTTAAGTGGTGCGTCCAGCCCCCCAAGGTTCAATGTCACTTTGTGAGAGGAAATCAGAAAAGGTTTCAGAAACGGGGCTAATATCTGCTCCAGCCCCGCTGAAAGTAGAAACGGTACAAATCTCCAGCCCTGCTTCACCACAGACAGAGACCACTGATATAGCTGCTCCCCTGCTGACGCTTCCAGCAGAGCTCATTAGCACAGGTAACGGGGCTTTGAAAATATTTAGTTCTGACCATTGTCATTTTGTACATTGCAAATTTTGTAATCGTCTAAAGGTGATTCAAACAACTTCTAGCCAAAGACAGTAAATTTCTTGCCATTAAAGTGATTGTTCTTATGTTTAGATGAGGGTCACGAGTCTGACATCGAGCAGATCCTGGTGGAACCTGCAGGTGGAGATCCGGTAGAAGAGGGAGAAGAGGAAGTGGATAAGAAAGAGCAAGTGAAGGACACAGAAGCAGCTAAGGAAACCCGCAGCAGAACTTCATCTGCATCTTCAGAAGACTACATCATCATCCTCCCCGATTGCTTTGACACCAGCCGTCCCCTAGGAGAGTCCATGTACAGCTCAGCCCTGTCGCAGCCTGGAGAAGAGCCTGCAGAGGGGGACAAACTAGAATCAGTGGAGACCGCAGAGCTCCAGAGCCCCGTTGCTGCTGCTGCTGTTAGTGCGGATGCTAATGACATGCTCTGTGCCTCCCAGACTCTGGATGCTGTGCCGCTCACCCCTGTGATTGTAGTGGCACCACGACCCCCGGTCAAATCCTGGTAAGTTTATACAGAGGACATATCAGCAGTAATAGATTGGGCTCAGAGGTCAGTTAAACTAGTGATGCACCAAAATTTTGCCAACAGAAACAGCAAAACATAGTTTTACAGGGTCGAAATCATTGACTGAAACAGTGATGTATAATTAGCATGTCTTCAGTGACACATTTTGACAGTGCTAAAAAGGTGCCAAGGTAGCAATATGCACAATGTGTACAGCTAAAATATCGAGACTTTACTATGAATAGTTTCTTTTCACCTGATAACATGACACGCTCAACGGCACACTGTGTTGTTTAGCTAACCAAATTTAATTACCCAAATGTTATTTTCAGTTTATGTTTTCAGCTAAAACGTTAATGTTGGTTTCGGAAAAAATAAAATAAAAAAATTCATTTCAGTGCCTCACTAATTTAAACCTGCAAATAAAACATCGAGCAGATCCTGGTGGAACCTGCAGGTGGAGATCCGGTAGAAGAGGGAGAAGAGGAAGTGGATAAGAAAGAGCAAGTGAAGGACACAGAAGCAGCTAAGGAAACCCGCAGCAGAACTTCATCTGCATCTTCAGAAGACTACATCATCATCCTCCCCGATTGCTTTGACACCAGCCGTCCCCTAGGAGAGTCCATGTACAGCTCAGCCCTGTCGCAGCCTGGAGAAGAGCCTGCAGAGGGGGACAAACTAGAATCAGTGGAGACCGCAGAGCTCCAGAGCCCCGTTGCTGCTGCTGCTGTTAGTGCGGATGCTAATGACATGCTCTGTGCCTCCCAGACTCTGGATGCTGTGCCGCTCACCCCTGTGATTGTAGTGGCACCACGACCCCCGGTCAAATCCTGGTAAGTTTATACAGAGGACATATCAGCAGTAATAGATTGGGCTCAGAGGTCAGTCAAACTAGTGATGCACCAAAATTTTGCCAACAGAAACAGCAAAACATAGTTTTACAGGGTCGAAATCATTGACTGAAACAGTGATGTATAATTAGCATGTCTTCAGTGACACATTTTGACAGTGCTAAAAAGGTGCCAAGGTAGCAATATGCACAATGTGTACAGCTAAAATATCGAGACTTTACTATGAATAGTTTCTTTTCACCTGATAACATGACACGCTCAACGGCACACTGTGTTGTTTAGCTAACCAAATTTAATTACCCAAATGTTATTTTCAGTTTATGTTTTCAGCTAAAACGTTAATGTTGGTTTCGGAAAAAAATAAAATAAAAAAATTCATTTCAGTGCCTCACTAATTTAAACCTGCAAATAAAGTTGTTGTTGTTTTTTTGGATTTTGACAAATTTACAGGAAATATTCATTATGACATGAAATGATTAAGATTAAGATGCTGCACTATTTCTTGGTCACTAATCAAGTTTGTGACATTGGTCATGTGAGAATGTTCTTGATCCATTTGAAGCATGCAGACCTAGATTGACCATTCACAATATCCTGGCTTAAATCTCTGTATGCACACATTCCTCCTACTCCATATCACAGCCTAGATTTCTTTCACGGCATCCTCATAACTTGATGTAACTGACATGTTAAATTTAGCTTAATATATATGAAATCTCTTTATTCAGCACAGAGACACAAGAGCAGACGGAACATGGAGCAGAGGAGCAGGAGAGGAGTAATCCTGCAGAGCCAGGAGATAAGGAGAAAGGTGAGTGGAAACACCATGGGATATAAAAAGAATAAACCATCACAGGTTGTGAATTAGTGCATTTTTCTATGATTTTGGGGTGTTAGATATAATACAAAGTAGACAGTATGATAAAAGACACACACACAGCTATGTTTCAAAGTTGACATGTTTTTTTTTTTTTAATGTACATAGTCTCTGATCCCAATCAACCTGACCCTGAGAACTCAACAGCATCTGCCAAGTCTGAAACAGAAGATCTTAGGTGAGTTACACAGCACACAACCACTCGTTCTGCCTCATGGAAGTGCACCCAGGACAGTCTTAGAGTAGCATTATAATAGAGCGTGCTAGAGTTAGAGGGTCAAATGAAGATGAAAGAGATGTGTTTTCAGCTGTTTCTTGAAAATATTAAGGACTCAGCTGCTTGGATTGAGCTGGGCAGGTCATTCCACCAGGAGGGAACAGTTCAAGTAGTAGTCCATGAAAGTTTTATCATAGGTAGAATACAAAATGTTTCAATACAAGCATTTCAGTCAAATGTAATTTATGCAATATTTCAAACCTTTAACCCACTTGGGAAAATCAACCCATGGCAACAGATTAAAAGTAGCCCAATTCTGTGGAAAAAAAACATGGACTTGGCAACCCTGCATCCAACAAGAGCTACCGGAGTCAGCTTTGACTGATCACAGGTCGAGAATAAGGAGAGATGACTGACAAGACCATGCTGGAGTATTTGCTGCTCAACAGATCCTGAGCTCATTGACAAATATCTGATCTTGTAAGATGTGCTCCCTTTACACAGAGTGAGTGTGATCGCGAAATCGAAAGTGAAAGTCAACAGCGCAAACTTTCATTCAAAAATATTTAAATACACTGCATCCTGAGAGCAGCTCCCTGATGCGCCAAAATTATATATGATATTAGAATGTTTGAAGGAGTGGACACGAAAATCGCGGGAACGAAACATGTTGCGGGAGCAGGCGGCAATGGTCAGAAATTCAGCGGGAGTGGGATTAATAAAACACCTGAATCCTGGACATTTTGGGCAATTAAGAAATCTCGGCCGGACGCATTTTTGTAGGTCCAAAAAGAGGACATGTCTGGGGAAAAGAGGACGTATGGTCACCCTAATTTATAATCTATTGCTAATCGATGTATTCTTTTTAAAGTAGCATATGGAACATATTTTCTGCCTCATTCTGTGACAAGAAGCCTCATCGGATAACAAAAGGAAGCATTTGACTGGTGTTTTAGAGTAAAAAGGTTATAATGTTCTCTTTTGTTGGACAATAGGTTTAGAAATGTGAATACAAGGGAGGTTTAGCTTTAGGCATTTTAATTTAAGCATGTTTAGCTTAGTGAACGGAAGGCTACCTGCTGCCATCAGAGCAAGTGTAATTACTGCATTCATGCACTCCTCGGATGCTCTCATTTCCCGAGTTGTGCTTTTAAGTCGGAATGTGAAAACAACATGGACATTCGTTACTACAAAGATGTGTTGGATTTGTATTATTAGAGCTTTCCGACTTGAGTTCACGTGCATTTTCTCAGTCGGGAAATAATTTTTGTGATGATGCTTCTTACGTCCGTTTCGGAGAACCAGAGGACAGCTATTTCAAACTATCGCTCCGGCATGGCACCGAAATCTGCGTTCGGATTCGGTTCTAGTACATACCGGTTACTTAGGTACCGGTGCCATATTGGTACCGGGTTTCGGTACCCAACCCTACTCGCATTCTTACTCTCTCTCATTCTTGTCTTTCCTCAGGGCTAATAGCATCACCGGTGGATTGGTGAAGGGTGCCCTGTCCGTGGCAGCATCTGCCTATAAAGCTCTTTTCACTGGACAGACTGGGTCTGAGAAGGTGAGTTTGGGAGCTGTTCACACAGGTTGCAAAATGGAAAAACATTTTGAAAGAAGCTTCCTTTAAAATTCCAAACTTCCTTTAAATTCACAAAGCATATTATGAATGTGGCAATGGTGCGAGACTCTGAGAGGTTCTGGGTGGAACTGTTTGGATCATGTGATTGTAAAGCATAATCAGTGGAGACAGATGCGCCTCACTCTGTTTGATGCCTGAATGGAGTATTCAGTGTCTCTGCATCTAATGTACACATCTGTCTGTAATAAATATCTTAAGTCTTACTTTTGCTTTCAGTCTTTGATAACAATGCACCACAAAATCCAAAGTATAGGGTTCTTTAAACAAGACTATTAAACTTTCACATTACACTTAACCTACATGCTAGAAATATACATAACCTGGATGTTAAGCACGCTGCACACTAAAAGCATCGGTGATTTGTGTTTTTCTAGCAAACCACTAGTTTTCAAAAAAAGTGGCGGAATCTTTTTTCCAGCCGTTGACATTGTTATTTACACATATTTGTTGAATAACAGACAATGTGTCAGTGAAACTAAACAGTGATTTAGTGTACAGTTCATCTCTTTATTTTAATAGAAGTGAATGCTTACAATACAAAAAAACTAAACAAAAATTTTCAGTGTATTAAAACATTTATCACAATAACATTATAACTGCTGATTTATTTGCAAAGCATTCTTAATACAAATAATCAACTATTTACTTGAAGCACCCTCTGAGATTTTATGTCATTTCTATTTTTAAAAAAATCAACTTGGTTTAAGAGTTTGGGAAACCTGCACTAAAACCCTAGATTTGCTATATAGCAAATATAGAGCAAGCCTTAAATGCAGAGGAATGTTATTTGAATATAGAGGCAAGCCTATTCAATTCTGACAACTGCACACGCAGCAAAAGGTAATTATACAGTATGTTGCAGAACAGCCAGTTTCCCAATAATCCATGTTCAAACAGAACAGAAAGCAGTCCCATTACTAGGGAAATGAATACCTCATTCTAAAACAACATCTACGTTAACAAAGAGACTTGTTATATGAGGCTTGCAACAACATTAAAATGGCCATACTATAAATTCCACACCCAGATAACAGAGCTGAGTAAAGACATTCAGTTCTTATCATATATATATTTACTTTGTTTTAACTAAACAAGTACCACATGTGATGAAACAAGTGGTAAAAAGACATGCACTGTGACCACAATATTTGATTTGTCAGAAACATGTAAAAGTGTAGTGCATCTCTATGGCCGGATCTCTAAAAGTCACTCTTTTAAACATTTCAGACACAACATGTATGATAAAAAATGTAAACAAAAACCATAATTCCCCATATAGTTTGTATGCAAAGCTGGTAGATAAGTAGGTTTGTGCTCTAAGATGATTTTCAAGTTTCAAGCCGTTTAACTGGAGTTTCTTGTATGGTTTCTCCCCGTTTCAAACTAAACTAAGGTACTAATACATGTCTCAACAGGTACTAATACATGTCTCACAGATGAAGAGATCATGCTTTAGTGCTATTAATGACAGATCATGATCATGAATGTAGTGTGCAGGATTGATATACATTACTATAAGAAAATTCTATCAATTTCAATGTTTCTTTGGTCTATTTCCATAAATAGTTTACGTTACAGGATTGTCTTCATATTGGCCTGCAGGTAATTCAAAGCATTTTTTGTATTGCTAGTGTAAAAAGTGAAACATAATATCTATCATCATTAATGGATAAAAAAATTTAACTATTTGCACTGTAACCCTGAGCTTGTCAAACCTCCAGGCTACAACATGCAAACCTGCATGATTTCCATTTTGAAAATTATGTATATTTAGGAGCACAACAAAGTCAAATAAAAATATAATCCCTGAATTTTTACCTGCAATAAGGCCCTAACACATTATTTCTTAGACCTGAAAAACAGCTTCTTAGTAAGCATGGACGCAAAGCAAGGCACTTGTTTTTTGCCTAAAGCAGAGCGATCCTTGCAGTTATCTACACTGCGATTGGAAACCTTCCTGTTAACAAGTGTCAGGATATCAGTGAACTCCAGTGTAGATCCATAACGCCTCAGGATTTCACACAGATCCTGGATGTACCACGAGCCATTCACCATCTCACGATGGGAGTAATATCCTTTACAAGAAGAAAAAGTGTCAGTGACTGCTTAGTGACAAAACTGTAAAAATCAAGGATGTAAATTGCATTTAATCCAGTACTTAAAGTACACAGTTAACAAATCTTGGTAAAACAAAGCACTGACCTTCAGCTACTGAATAGCACATGAGGAAATCTGCTCCTGCTGGAAGGGTGCAGAGCGCCCCCGCATCCACAAACACTTCAATGTTCGTCTGACTGTCCACCACATCCATTGGTGTCACAGCATCATCATGTTTGTCACCACGACAAGCCTTATGTTCAAAGAAATTGATGCATTTGCAAGAGGTGTGAAATGTGTTTTCATATTGCATTACTGTAAATAGACCGCAAAGGACATTTTGTGGAAGGAGGACAAATTACCTGCAAGATGAAGATCTTGGGTTTGCCTACAAGGCTACGGCATTTATTCCCCTTGAACAAATCAGTGATTTCTTGAATTTGGATCTGCCCATCATTGGCAAAGATGTGACCATTTTCCCCATGACTTAAAAAGACACAGACAAAACAGTCTGCATCTACATGGTTCGCAGCAGCAGCTGAAATCAAAGGAACACCCTGGATTAAACAGAACCTAAACTTTATTTGGAGCATGATTTTGACTTTTTACCTTTGATTTTAAGTTATAATTTACATTAATGATGAAGTTGATTCTAGCACACCAGTCAGTGCTATAGCTATAATTTTGAAACAGTGTGATGAATTTCAAACTTTTTCATATTTATTCTGGTGCTGACTTCAGTTGTAAGTAAATTAATATAGATAATATAGATTTGATCCATTATATATAAAAAATAATAATAATGTGTGAAAATTGTAAAATAATTATATCACACATACATATAGATGTACAGGTACATCTCAAATTTGAATATCACAGAAAAGTTCTTTATTTTTTGTAATTTAATTTTTAAAAAAGCAAACTTTCTTATATTCTAGACTCATTGCACACAAACTGAAATATTTCAAGAGTTTTTTTTTTGTTTTAATTCTGACGGTTACGACTTACAGCTTAGGAAAATTAAAAATTCAATTTTGAGCTTTATCATCAATTTTGAGTATAAATACTGGGTACCTGGGTCCTGGGCTAATTTAGAACATGCAACCACAATTATGGGGAAACTACTCCAGTGTAGATCCATAACGCCTCAGGATTTCACACAGATCCTGGATGTACCACGAGCCATTCACCATCTCACGATGGGAGTAATATCCTTTACAAGAAGAAAAAGTGTCAGTGACTGCTTAGTGACAAAACTGTAAAAATCAAGGATGTAAATTGCATTTAATCCAGTACTTAAAGTACACAGTTAACAAATCTTGGTAAAACAAAGCACTGACCTTCAGCTACTGAATAGCACATGAGGAAATCTGCTCCTGCTGGAAGGGTGCAGAGCGCCCCCGCATCCACAAACACTTCAATGTTCGTCTGACTGTCCACCACATCCATTGGTGTCACAGCATCATCATGTTTGTCACCACGACAAGCCTTATGTTCAAAGAAATTGATGCATTTGCAAGAGGTGTGAAATGTGTTTTCATATTGCATTACTGTAAATAGACCGCAAAGGACATTTTGTGGAAGGAGGACAAATTACCTGCAAGATGAAGATCTTGGGTTTGCCTACAAGGCTACGGCATTTATTCCCCTTGAACAAATCAGTGATTTCTTGAATTTGGATCTGCCCATCATTGGCAAAGATGTGACCATTTTCCCCATGACTTAAAAAGACACAGACAAAACAGTCTGCATCTACATGGTTCGCAGCAGCAGCTGAAATCAAAGGAACACCCTGGATTAAACAGAACCTAAACTTTATTTGGAGCATGATTTTGACTTTTTACCTTTGATTTTAAGTTATAATTTACATTAATGATGAAGTTGATTCTAGCACACCAGTCAGTGCTATAGCTATAATTTTGAAACAGTGTGATGAATTTCAAACTTTTTCATATTTATTCTGGTGCTGACTTCAGTTGTAAGTAAATTAATATAGATAATATAGATTTGATCCATTATATATAAAAAATAATAATAATGTGTGAAAATTGTAAAATAATTATATCACACATACATATAGATGTACAGGTACATCTAAAATTTGAATATCACAGAAAAGTTCTTTATTTTTTGTAATTTAATTTTTAAAAAAGCAAACTTTCTTATATTCTAGACTCATTGCACACAAACTGAAATATTTCAAGAGTTTTTTTTTTTGTTTTAATTCTGACGGTTACGACTTCCAGCTTAGGAAAATTAAAAATTCAATTTTGAGCTTTATCATCAATTTTGAGTATAAATACTGGGTACCTGGGTCCTGGGCTAATTTAGAACATGCAACCACAATTATGGGGAAACTACTGACTAGACAGTTGTCCAGAAGATGATCATCCACACCCTCCACAAGGAGGGTAAGCCACAGAAGGTCATCTCTGAAAGGGCTGGCTGTTCACAGAGTGCTGTTGTATCAAAATATATTCATAGAAAGTTGACTGATAGGAAAAGGTGCACAAGCAACAGGGATGACCGTAAGCTTGAGAATACAGTCAAGCAAAGCTGATTCAAACACTTGAGAGAGCTTCACAAGGAGTGGACTGAAGCCGGAGTCAGCGCATCAAGAGCCACCACACCCCGATGTCTTCAGGAAATGGGCTACAGCTGTCAGAACCAAGCCACTTCTGAAACAGGAACAACGTCAGAAGCATCTCACCTGGGCTAAGGAGAAAAAGAACTGGACTGTTGCTCAGTGGTCCACAGTCCTCTTTTCAGATGAAAGTACATTTTGCATTTCATTTGGAAATCAAGGTTCCAGAGTCTGGAGGAAGACTGGAGAGGCACAGAATCCAAGTTGCTTGAAGTCGAGTGAAGTTTCCGAAGTCAGTGATGGATGATTTGGGGTGCCGTGACATCTGCTGGTGTTGGTCCACTGTGCTTTATCAAGTCCAAAATCAATGCAACCGGCTACCAGGAGATTTTAGAGTACTTCATGCTTCCTTCTGCTAACACGCTTTTTGAGATGCTGATTTAATTTGGTAGCAGGACTTAGCATCTGCCCACAGTGCCAAAACCACTTCTAACTGGTTTGCTGACCATGACGTTGGTGTGCTTGACTGGCCAGCAAACTCACCAGACCTGAACCCCATAGAGAATCTATGGGATATTGTCAAGAGGAAGATTAGTAACATCAGTAACAGATGAGCTGAAGGCCACTATAAAAGCAACCAGGGCTTCAATAACGCCTCAGCAGTGCCACAGGCTGATCGCCTCCATGCCACGCCGCATTGAAGCAGTAATTCATGCAAAAGGAGCCCCAACCAAGTATTGAGTGCATAATTAAACCTACTTTGGAGATCTTGAACATTTAGTTAATCTTTGTAAATCTTTTTTTGATTGATCTTTGAGAAAATATTCAAATTTTTGGAGATACCGAATTCTTAATTTTCCTAAGTTGTAAGTCGTAACCATTAGAATAATAATAAAAAAAACCTTGAAATATTTCAGTTTGTGTGCAATGAATAATACAAAAAAAAGTTAGCTTTTTAAAAATTGAATTACCTCATGCAAAAGGAGCCCCAACCAAGTATTGAGTGCATAATTAAACCTACTTTGGAGATCTTGAACATTTAGTTAATCTTTGTAAATCTTTTTTTGATTGATCTTTGAGAAAATATTCAAATTTTTGGAGATACCGAATTCTTAATTTTCCTAAGTTGTAAGTCGTAACCATTAGAATAATAATAAAAAAAACCTTGAAATATTTCAGTTTGTGTGCAATGAATAAAAAAAAAAAAAGTTAGCTTTTTAAAAATTTAATTACCAAAAAAAAAAAAAAAAACTTTTCCATGATATTCAAATTTTGAGATGCACCTGTATATGTGTGATATAATTATATAAAAAAATGTAAACCGTGCCAAAGATGCTGTTGATAAGCTGCTGTGTTTGACCTGGAACATTTAAGTTGGGCTCCCATTTCTCAAAACATGCATTAAAGAGAAAATATTGAGGCACCTTCTCTGATTGTGGATAAAACTTCTTCTCGTTTGTAATCATCACAAGCCTTCACTTCAAAACCCAGCTCCTGAAATCTGACAACAGATATGAAAGAAAATGGACAAATTAGTTATTATTCTGTTACTTTAATAAAATCAGGAAAATGACTGTTTCTTTATCAACCAACACAGTGACAGTCATGTTAGTGAGGCAAACACAGATCTCAGTGACAGTGGTTTTTGATTACTTTGCCAAATACCTTCTAACAAGATTCTGCCTGTCTGCATTTGTGCCAGAGCGGCTGTTCAACATGAGCTGCCAGTAAAAATTTTCATGGTTAAAGATCAGAGCCATTCCTCGCTTCTTGTGGTCCATCTTATACTCCTCATTAGGATCCAGACTGAATACACTGACAAACGAGATATAAAACAATATAAATATGCTTGAACTCCAAACTGTACAATTTCTACATGCTTACAATAAGGTTTTTACCTTTGATTAATGCTATCAGTTTCTGTTACGTTCTCTCTGACTGAAAGAAAAGGCAAAATCAACACAAACCACTCAAATTTGATTTGCAAAGCAAGAATACGAAATATGCAAATGTTCAGAGGACGTATTCAAGTCACAAAGATTCAAACCACAGTGAAAGATATTGGAGTAACAATGGCGTAAAACAAATACATTGGCGTAATAGAACGAAGACCTAAAGTTCAGTGAAAATACACTAAGGTCATGCATGTATTGAGCACCTGGTCAGGCTGGATTTCAATGGCTTTACAACCAGGTTGTCAAGCATAGCAGAGCTAACATAGGCAAATTCTATATTTACACTTTGCAGATCCTTCTCTCTTCTTCATTTTGCTACTCAGGTCATACACGAGTTATAAACTGGATTCAATTCTACCTGTCTGTCCCGCTAAAGCGCTGTCCTTCTCCACAGACCCTAAGGAGAAAAATAAAACATATTCGGGACTTAAACGGCATATTTGCGTTATTGAGCCAGAGGACTCCGGTTGTAAATCATATTTGATGTGTATGACCGTGAATACTTGTGATTCATGTTTAGACAAGCACCACCTACTTCAGGTGCTGGAATAAGGAAATGAAGCCTGCAGTGTCTTAAGAACAACATTAAGTGTGTCCAAATATTTAGTTAGGCTACTCTTCTTACAGGATAACTAGATAAACAGCTTACCGGATTCATCGCTCTTGACGTAACTTGCCATCGCTGCTTCAGCGGAGAGAAACTGCGATCCTGAGGAAGCTTTTAACAACAAACTACTGTAACAACAGCAAACACAGAACTGACTAGTCACCAAGCGCAACAGTTAACTTATGAAAAATGACACTGAAACGTTAACCAATCACAGGCCACTACTACCTTAACCAATCACAGGTCGGTAAAATGTCAACCAATCGGAGGCGGTCTGTCGCGGTCGAACCTTTGGTCGAGCTGGTCGGACTCGGTGAAGCTGGTTACAACTTCCGCGTTGAAGTCTTCCTTTCTTTCCTTCTGTCTTTCTTTGTAGCAACTACATTTCTGCATTCTATTCTATTTAGGTCTGTAGGCATTTTCTCTACGGAGTTAAGAAAGGGAATTGATCAAAATACATAAATAAACAGGCAAAGTCAATAACCTCGATTTATTATCATTTTCTAGTTAAAAATATAATTATTAAAATAAGATACTACATCAAATATTTTAATAGGATTTAAATGTATTTAAGAGATTTAAATTAGGATTTAAAGGGATTTAATGGGCTAAAAAAAGAGAGAAAACTACAGTTATTGTATGGTAATGCATTTGACAAAACTCAATACTAAAAGACAGGATCTATTGTACTGTGACCAAAGTGTCATGCATGTTTGTGGACAGATCTCTAAACGTCAATCTTTTCAACATTTAAGACACAATGTAATAGGCTATTCACAAATACCGTAATCCACAGTGTAATTAATCCCATAATTGCTAATTGTTGCTAATGGTGTGTATGCAATGAAAGTTAAGTATGTTTGCACTCTAAGATGATTTTCAAGTTTGACTGCCATTTAACTGTTTCTTCCTCTTTCGAACTGAAGTAAGTTCTCAACAGCCCAGGAGGTACTAATGCACATCTCACATATGAAGAAGAGATCATGCTTTAGCTGTTAATGACAAATCATGATCATGAATGTAGTGTGCAGGAGTGATATACATTACTATAAAAGAACATTTTATGAATTACATTTTTTCATCGGTCTCCTTTAATTTATCTTTTAGTTTCAGCACAGAAAGTTTTCCTTGCACTAATTACTGGGAATGTGATGTCCTCACTTGGCCTGTAGGTAATTCAAAACATTTTTGCATTGCTACTGTCTGATACAGTGCGGTAAAATAAACAGTAAACTGGATATCATCTAATGGGTTAAAAACGAAACTAAAACACTGCACTTTGTAACCTTGAGTTTGTCAAACCTCCAGGTTAAACATGCAAACCTGAATGATTTCCATTTCTGAAATTGAATATATAGGAGTTTAATATAAACTAAATAATAAAATAATATAATCCCTGATTTTGCACCTTCAATAGGGCCCTAGCACTACTGTACCTTCTTGAAAATATATATGATGCATATTTTTTATATAAACAGTAAAACAATGCATTTGAACAACAGCAGCTAAAATAAGTATTGAACACGTCACCATTTTTCTCAGTAAATATATTTCTAAAGGTGCTGTTGACATGAAATTTTCACCAGATGTCGGTAACAACCCAATTAATCCATACTTACAAATAAAACAAAACAAATAAGTTCAGAAATTAAGTTATGTGTAATAAAATGGAATGACACAGGGAAAATTTATTGAACATGAAGAAAGGGAAGTGCAAAAAGGGAAAGCCAAGATACCAGCTGAAATCTATCAGTAATTAGAAAGCAATCCTGCCCCTAGTCAGTGGAAATTAATATTAGCTGCTTCAGTCCCAACACCTACAGTACCAGGATGATGAAGATGATGAAACAAGGGTGGACATTTCAGCAAGACAATGATCCCAAAGGAAGCCAAGGAAGCTCTCACTTGGTTTCAGAAAAAGAAAATAAAGCTGCTAAAATGCCAATTACCTGATTTGAATCCAATAGAAAATAAGAACAAGATCAGAGTTCATAGAAGAGGCCCACAGAACCTTCAAGATTTAAATACTGTTTGTGTGTAAGAATGGGCCAAAATCACACCTGAGCAATGCATGCGTCTAGTTTCTCCATACATCAGGCGTCTTAAAGCTGTCATTACCAACAAAGGCGTTTTTTACGAAGTATTAAATACATTTCAGTAGTTCAATACTTTTCCCCTGTCATTCCATTTTATTACACATTACTTAATTTCTGAACTTATTTGTTTTGTTTTCTTTGTATGAATGGATTACTTGGGTTGTTATCAACATGAAAATTTAATCTCAACAGCACCTTTAGAAATTGTAGCGCTTAGACTAATTAGACACATATTCATTCGAAATTAATATTAGCTGCTTCAGTCCCAACACCTACAGTACCAGGATGATGAAGATGATGAAACAAGGGTGGACATTTCAGCAAGACAATGATCCCAAAGAAAGCCAAGGAAGCTCTCACTTGGTTTCAGAAAAAGAAAATAAAGTTCTGGAACAGTGTTGTAAATACAACTTAACCACTGATTTCTAGTCGTGTCCTCTTTTGGAAGACCAAACAAAGTAGTTTCGCTTTCACAACGAAACACAGCATCACATGGCGGGCTAGAGTGAGCGGAGGCCGGGGGCTAGAGTGAGGAACGGCTGGCGGGTTAGAATGAGTGGCAGCGGGCGGGCTTGAGAACGGCACGGCCGGCGGATTCCACGAAGGAGCGTCCGGCGGGCAGAGGTGGACAAAGTACACTACTCCATTACTTAAGTGAAAGTACAGATACCGCTGGTCAAATATTACTCCATTACCAAAAATGCTGGGAAATCACTTCATGTAACCAAGAGTGATTACTGATAAACTGTCTGAAAAAAAGAAAGTCACGTTTTAGAGAAGAAAAATAATCACCCACTGACTTTCAAAGCTGCTACATAGTAACTACTTTCTACTTCGAGGACCTTGATAGAAATGTAGTGGAGTGAAAAGTACAATATTTGTCTTTCAAATGTAGTGAAGTTAAAGTCATAAGTTCCCAGAAAAAATAATACTCAAGTAAAGTACAGATACTCAAAAAGTGTACTTAAGTACAATACTCAAGTAAATGTACTTAGTTACTGTCCGCCTCTGCCGGCGGGTTTGCGGCAACCTCATGTGATGACTCCGGGCTGGACTCCGCTTCGTCCACGGTGAAAGCCGAGCCGGCGATCCACAGCGCGAAGATATGTGGGGGTGTGTTAGAATGAGCCGTTTTAGGTAGGCGTGGTTGACTCTTAACTTTTATAAAGAATATCTCTTTGGATTTGAGACTTTAGTCTTTACAACTTTACAGATCTTCTTTATGCACCAAGAGCTTGTAACACTCCAAAGAGAAAGGAAAAATTTAAATCGCATCATATGACCCCTTTAATGAAGAATCCAGCAAACCCCCTCAGTTAACAAGCCAACTGTGAGGGTCTATGGACCCTTAGTTCTCCCGAAAGAGCACCCTAAAGGGCTCAGTTACCAGGGCAACCATCTGATAATTTTTATTCCTAAAAAGTATGAGAGATGCGATGTGCAGTAAGAACGGGACCCTTCTAAAACCCATGCAATGCCCATAAAAAGGGAACTTTCCTCCTTTCCACCCATAGACAAACCTTTCTACGAATAAACATGCATCCCAGGACATTGTGTGTATGATTTTAACCATCTTGTATAGTGTCTTTTGCATTGTATTTTGTTTTATGCATGCTTTATGAGTGAAGTACTAGTTAATGTAACCCCACCTATATCATGTCTCCTATCAAATTAATACTCATTTAACAATGCACATTTTTGTGTACACCACCTCCTCATAGAATGCCTTGTGTGTTTGTAATTTAATCAGAGTATAGACTGCCAGAGCCATTTGAACCATGGTCTCAGACAAAGGGTCATAAAACCTCCAATCCTCCCGCTTGGAAATTCAGCCTTTCTCATTGGCCAAGCCCATCCTGAGAAGCGTGGCTCTTCCCAGACTTTAAAGGGCTCATGCACAGTTCTGCCTGCTCTCTTCTGCTAAATCTTCTGATTTCTGCCCGTGAGGAGCGACTCACGGAGAGCCTGAGCCGGCACGGTGCGCACCCGGCGGGCCCCAACAGAGCTGTGTGCGGTCTCCCCAGCCTGCGGAAATGGGTCTCGACCACAAAGAATCAGACTAATACCACTGGAGTTCGTCTTCACTCAACCCTGGAATTCACCATCATGGAAATACCCTCGATCAGACATTTCTCTCTCTTCGCTCCCGGCAGCATCTTCATCTCTGGATTGCGGCCTGAAGTTCCACTGTGGCCCATAGGGCCAGCAGGCCCCATTTTACACCCAGCCATGAGCTTACTCAGGAGAGAGGACTCTCTCAACCACAACAGAGTCAAGAACAACCTCAGGGTTTCAAGAGATTGCAACTTTGGCCATCAAATGAAACCATCCAGACCTTCTTCAGAGGCTTCACAAGACTCTCGTTCCACAGCCAAGTCCAATGCAAGTATCGTTCCTTTCACCAGACAGAGGTTTGATGTAAGCTATCGTATACTGTGCTTTGAATTAGAGACTGATGGTTCTTTCAGATGGTCAACTCAGCCTCATCCCCCCTGCTTCTGTCTGGTTCTATTCATCCACTTACCTTTCCCATGCGTGATTTGTGGGTATGTGTTTGTTCAGACTAGTTATATGTTTGTGATTTAGTTAATAAAACTTTTGGTGCACAAATTACATGAGGTTCTGATTCTGTCACCGCTTTGTGAATATTGTTCCTTTTATGATTCCGATCTAGCTATATGCTCTACTGTATTAGTACTGTAAGAAAGTAATTTTCTGTGGCCACGAAAATATCCTTTCTTAAGAGTTGATATGAAATTACACTGAATGTTCGCTGGACGAACAGATTAGTTGATGGCAATATTAATTCTGCTACAGTTACTACTGGCAGCTGATATAAATAATTGTAATTAATTATAATTAAGTGTAATTATTTATATACATTTCCCTTTTGAGCTAATTTGCTACAAAATAATTTACGTGCTACAATAAAAATTACGTGTTCAATACTTATTTTACTCGCTGTATTTGTAAATAATATTTTCCTGAAAGACTTCAATGAAAGCCAGGTAACTATGTTCATTACATTGATTCACAACACACACACATTCATTCTTAAGTTTGTGCCTACTACACTGAAAACAGCTCTTTAATGAAGAATGATACAGACACACACACACACACACACACACACATTCACGCACATGTTGGGTTTGCATGTTTTATAGGGACATTACATATTAATTCTGCTACAGTTACTACTGGCAGCAGATATAAATAATTGTAATTAATTATAATTAAGTGTAATTATTTATATACATTTCCCTTTTGAGCTAATTTGCTACAAAATAATTTACGTGCTACAATAAAAATTACGTGTTCAATACTTATTTTACTCGCTGTATTTGTAAATAATATTTTCCTGAAAGACTTCAATGAAAGCCAGGTAACTATGTTCATTACATTGATTCACAACACACACACATTAATTCTTAAGTTTGTGCCTACTACACTGAAAACAGCTCTGTTAATGTTTCTTATTTTAATGAAGAATGACACACACACACACACACACACACACATTCACGCACATGTTGGGTTTGCATGTTTTATAGGGACATTACACAGACGTAATGATTTTTATACTGTACAAACTGTATTTTCTATCCCCTTACCCTAAATCTACCCCTCACAGAAAATATTCTGTATCATTTTAAAGCTTGTTTTCTCATGGGGACCAAAATGTCCCCAAAAGGACAAGAATTTTGAATATTGCATATATATTTTTATACTGTACAAACTGTATTTTCTATCCCCTTACCCTAAATCTACCCCTCACAGAAAATATTCTGTATCATTTTAAAGCTTGTTTTCTCATGGGGACCAAAATGTCCCCAAAAGGACAAGAATTTTGAATATTGCCATTTTTGTGGGGACATTTTGTCCCAATAACGTAGGGTATACCTGCAGCACACACACACACACACACACACAAATTGGGGTGTGAATCAACATCTACAGTGGTTGCACCATTTCTCAGCCCACACTTGTAGTCCTTACTTGCAAGGCACATAACAACATTTAAAATGGCAACTTTATTAAAAGTTATTAAAAGATCATTTTAAATCATTGTTTACAGTCCCTCTGCAGTACCTCCATGGCCCTCTGGGGGTTTGGAGCACAGGTTGAAAACTGTCAACACGGAAATTAAAAGAACACTTGATTCTCCTACTGCTGACAGTATTACACAGCATACTGTTTCATTTGGTCATTCTCCAATATTTGACATATACTGTATATGCCAGAAAACTGTGTGCTATACACACAATACTATATCTCTTTATTATCTCAAAGCAATCCTCATTAATAAAAAGACAATGAGGCCAAACAAACAAAGATTTTTTTTGTTTATAAACTATTATATGTATAACTCAATCACTTTCAACTGGATTTCCTTCATTAACATTAAGGCTGCCATCTTTCTCTTCGAAGCCTTATTAATTGTAGTAGTTTACTCAGTATTCATCACAATAGCTTTCATAAATGTTATCCTCTTCATTTTTCTTGTCATGAGATGCACCTGCATATGTATTATCTGCACCTAGTAACATTGCATAGAGATGAAGGCCAAATTTATTAAAGGAAGTTGTTAATAAACAGTGTTGATGGAAGGGAAAATGTTAAAACTTAAAAGACATAATCTGATGTTTTCATGAAATGCAGAGTTACAATTTCTAAAGAAGAACTTCAAGAAAGTTTCCTTGTTCCTTTGCTTTTGTCTTCTCTTCAGCAGGAGGATGATTATGAGGACAGACAATAAGAGCAGCACAGCTGACACTGCAGCACCAATGACAGGAAGCAGGGAGGCTGAGAGAGACACACGTGTTTGAGTTTGAACTTTCATTACCAGCAGTCCAGCTTTGATTTAGACTCTTACACATCAGTACCTGTGATAGTGATGAGCAGCAGTTCAGAGGCAGATGAACGGAAGGAGCGTGAGGAGACACTGACTTCATAAACACAGCTGTAGTTTCCCTCGTGTGAATAATCTGCCTCAGGAAAGAAGAAGGAGGCAGAGTGACTGACAGCTGACTCAGTCCTGGTGATGTTTGATCCTCTGAACAGGTGAAAAGATCCTCCAGGATACTGAGATTGAGTTGAACAGATGATAGTGAAACTGTGGCCCCTGGTGATCACTGGCCCCTGAGGTCCCACGTCAAACCATCCATCAGGAGCACTGTGGTAAATACTGGGCTGCTGCAAGTTCACTAGAAAACAAGGAGAATACATTTATATGGTTACAGAGACTCGAACAATAAAACCAACTTCTTTAAATAAAAATGGCTTCAAGAACTGTATCTAGTCAGGATCAAAAATACAGAATTAATTAACTTTCATGCAATTAATGCATGTAATTTATGATTGAACACACTCACCCACAGTGATGATAACAGTGTTGCTCAAAGGTGACTTGACAGTGTTGTTTTGGTAGGAGTAACGACAGCTGTAGCTGCCCTGATGTGAGACGTCTACATTAACAAGGTTGAAAGTCACACTAGATTCATGTGTCTGGGAGGATATAGATGATCTGTTCATGAAGAGCTGGAATGTAGCATTAGCATTGCATCTTTGTTTAGGTATTGTGCAACTGAACTGGATATGTTCTCCAGGAGAAACAGCTGCATGTGTGGAGGTCAGGGAAAGAGTCGGCATCTGCAGCTCACCTGCAAAATAAATATGTAATTTATTTTTAAAATGTTGAAAAATTATGAAATTCATGAAATGTTAATGTAATTTCTGTTGCTCATTTCCCCCCAAAATAATGTGAAAATGCAAGAGATTTAACATACCTGAACAAACAACACCAGCATCTTCATAATGTTTACAGTCATGTTTTCCTAGTCCACTGTGTGAACATTGTGTGAGGGCTCCTTCACTTCCTGAGCATTCAACATCATCCTGCCAGATCGATCCACTGCCTTGACTAAAGGCGGCTCCATGAGGTGCACTGATGGCTGATCCACACTGTGACTGTCTGCACACCACAGCAGCATCATTCATGTCCCAGTTATCATCACACACGGTTCCCCACTGGCCATTATAACGGATCTCCACTCTCCCACAGCATGAATCAGACCCACTGACCAACCTTATGTCTGGTACTTGGCATTAAAAATGCAAGCAATAAGAATTAAAAATGTGTATTTGGGTCATGTGGCAAGTATCTGTGTTAAACATTAGTTTCCATTTGTTTTTTTATTATCTGGAGCCAAACACCATGGTTTGTGTTTTTTAATTGCTGATATTATTTTCACCACAAGCAAGGGGTACATTTTCAAAACTCTTAGCACTAATCTCTAGACATCATCAAAACAATCTGTTTGAAATTTGGTAAAAACTGTTGTGAAAATTAACAAAAAATAGTACCTAAGTAATTAAATGTAAAAAATAGAAATGTAGCCTAATGCTAAGAAAATATAGTCATGTGTTCCAATAGAAGGATGTGAGCACTGTGCGAGCAATGATTCACTTCCTGAACATCCCACATCATCCAACCAGATCTGACCACTACCCTGGCTAAAATGAGCACTGCCATGTGCACTAACAGCTGTTCCACATCCCAGCTGTCTGCACACCACAGCAGCATCATTCATGTCCCAGTCATCATCACACACTGTCCCCCATGTGCCATTATACAGCATCTCAACTCTTCCAGAGCAGTCATTTGTACCATTCACCAGTCTGATTCTATAATTACCTAAAACATTATGATATAACAAGTATTGTAATATTTAAGACTAGGCAAAACAGTCATTCATATCATGTAACTAGAATAAGAATTTTAAATGAATGACTATAAACAGTCTGTCACTTACCAGCTACAGCAGAAAGAGCATTGGCTGTTGAGATGAAAAAGAGTGACATTTAAAGACCTATTAAACCCCTTTTTACAATATGTAATAAGTCTTGGGTGTCCCCATAATGTGTCTGTGAAGTTTTAGCACAAAATACCCCACAGATCATTTATTATATCATTTTGAAAATGACTATTTTGAGTGGACGCAGAAACAGTGTTTTTCGTGCATGTCTCTTTAAATGCAAATGAACTGCTGCTTCCTGCCCTCTTTATAACAGGGCTGTGCATTATTCCTCAGATACTATGCTATAAAAACATCTGTTTGGTTTTGATTTTCATGTCTATCGTGCTGAAATCATGCGTTTTAAAGCTATATTAGTTTAAACTTGTGATATATATTTTCTGAGAGCACCCATAGGAAGCATGTGCACAGAAAGCGGCCGTCACATGGCATGCAAGTCTCTTTAATGTCTTATTGTGCTTAAACTGTCAAATACACACACGTTTATGTTAAAAACACACATGAGTTACAAAAACAGTCAGTTATGTGCAGCCAAAGACAGAACAGTTAGCATGCTGTGCTCGGATTTTCGCCATGGCATTAGAACTGGTACACCGTTGTAGCTTGCGAAAACATAATGGTGGCGCCATGTGTGGAAACTTGCAGATTAAGGGGCCGTTATATTATAATAAGATCCCCTTTCTAAGTCATGGGGGGAGCGAAATCTAAGTGGCTCGTTTTTTCACAAGCTTGCAGACAAAGACTTACCAAAAAAATTTACTGGGTTGTTCTTTTTCACGTTTTCTGGGTTAATAGATGTACCAGGGACCAAATTCTAGCACTTACAGATGGAAAAAGTCAGATTTTCATGATATGTCAAGTTAAAAAACATTACAGATTTACAACTACACATTATGACTGACATTTCTTAGATTAAAAAAATATAGAAAATATTAAATAAATTAGGGGAAAAATAATATACAGGTCAAAATAGAACATACTTTAGACCTACATACAGTGGGTACGGGAAGTATTCTGACCACCTCATGATTCTCATTTGCTCTGACATGCACTGTGAGCTGTGAGGAAACGTTTAACAGTCTTTAATGACGAAACACAGGCGATAATCCACAATAGGCGCTTGAGCCAACACACCTAGAGAACGAGTAGACCCGACAAACACAAACTGAACAGACTAGGACTTAAGTACACAGGGAAATGAGGATAATTAACTAAACACAGCTGGAAACAAATGATGAACTAATCAGGGAACCTAATGGAAACAGGAAGGACCAAATAAGGAAACACAGGACCAGAAACAGGGGCAAAACACTACACAGAACAGTCCAGAATCCTGACAGAGTGTCAGTGTTTGGGACTGACAACCACATTTACTTACAAGTGTGAGGTGAAATGTCCTGTTCACACAGCAGTTTACAACAAAGGCTCGAATATCTGTTTGAACGTGCAGCTAAGCAGGCATTATATTGGTGACTGTCACATGTAATCATATTGACTAAAGTAAATTTGAAAGATGGCGATGTCCAAAACTGCTTATCACAGTTAGACAAAAGTTCAATTGAGGTGCGATTTCATCCTTCAAGAGAGCTGGAAAAAAGTGGACACTTTGTTACTTTATGATACAGCTTGTACCTATAATTGTTGATCAGTTAGTTGGGCACACTGTAAGAAAAAAGTATGTAAAAAAACGGAAAAGATCTGTTCCCATCCCATTAAATCATTTTAGTCATCATTTAGATCATTTTCAGAGCAGTCAAGTTCAAATCAAGGCAACTCAAACATCTCTGAAGGATAATTAGACTGTGTCTAAGTTAAAGTTAACATAAAACATTACATAAAAGCCACTAGTTTCAGTTCAGTTTTAGAAAGAACAAATGGTGGAAAACTAAAACCTGAAACTAAACCTGAGAGATGACCCATACACATACTTATTCAATAGTGTAGTAAAGATATGGCACCACCACCAACTTAACACAGCTCATAAACATTAACAATATTAAAGGGTTAGTTCACCCAAAAATGAAAATTCTGTCATTAATTACTCAGCCTCATGTTGTTTCAAACCCGTAAGACCTTCGTTCATCTTCCCTTTAAGCGTGAAATATTATTGTAGTATTAATATTGTGACAAATATACAAATATTTCATCATTAAATGTTTTTATCATAGCAAATCTTTAAACATCATCTGTAATTAAAAAAGGAACAACAAAGATTGTAGGATGAACATTCATGCTGCCCTTGCCCATTAAACAGTCTGTATGAAGAAAGCACCTTTTATATGATTAAGGTCCAAAATGGCTTTGTGCTAAATATCAGTAAAATGTGGCTTTTTAAAAGAGCATCTGAACCTCACTGTTGTCATGTGGGGGGTCAGGAATTGTCTGTTTGACATCAAACCCCTGCTGGTATGCTGTATTTCTTCACTGACAGCAAATACGGTAAGCCAATGCTTCAAGTAAAATGTTAGAGTTTGTTTAATTTGCATCTATAAAAGAAAGAGAGACGGAATGACTTCATATGCAAAATATCAAACGATCTCTGCAAAGAAGTGAAACAAACATGTGATAGAAATGACAAAAGGGAATTAAGAAACCACATCAGATATGCAGTACTCTGAAATGGAGTTAAAGAGTAGCATTCTGTGGGATTTCCTAATCATTTTCCTGATTTAGGCCGATGCATTTTTAACACATTTGGAGAATAGCTCTGTTCTCACAATGTGTTAATACACTGATTAAGCTGCGAAGCAGATTTGAGGAAGTGCCCTTTTGGACACGGAGTGCAGAGACTGTGAACATTTTCACATTTCCTTATAGTCCAGATATATAAAAACTAGATTTACAGTGTATTCGCAGTTGTAATTTTATAATATGAGTTATATTCAGAGAAAACTTGTGCAGAGTACAAACATATATTAAACTGTTGTTTAAACATTTTAATTTAAATTAAATTATTTAGGTATCCAGTGGGCAGTCATAATCAAAGGCAGACATCACACAGTAACTCATTAGCGGGTGTCTAACAATAACAACAAAGAGAGAGGAAGACACAAAGCAGAGGGGTTGTGGGTAGTTGTGTCACACTGTAAACGGATACAGCTACTGCTTTCTCTCTTCGAGGTTCCTTATCGCTTGCTTCTTTATAGAACACACCTTGAAAAGCTGTCAAAAACACTTCATTACTACTAATAAATGTTCATACTTGTTGCTAAAGCTCTGTTAACAACTGCTAATTTGCTAGTGCCACCATTTTCAGCGAAGTAGACAAACTGATACTTTGCTACAGGAAAAGAGAATCCACACTCACATTACAGAGATTTCTAGAGAAATCATAAGCATCTTATTTAATATTAGCGCTTAATAATGACCAAAGAGTCTTTGTTCTCTTCATATACAAAGAATTATTCATACTTGGACACTGATTATTGGATATAAGGAATAATTCACTGCTGACTTAGTTTGTTCCTTGTCTGGAAATTCTGGCTCCGTTGTTGTGTGGCACTTTTGTGCGTTAATGGACTGTTTTCTGGTATTTAGTGCTGTTATCCATTCAGAAGGTCCTAGGTCCTTTATTTTGTGAAAAATTGACAATTAGTAATATTTTCCATCAAATAGCTTTCATAAATCTTCATAGTTATTGCCCAGTGTACTTCTGTGTTCTGTAAGATCGACATTGACATAGTCTTTTTCTGAATCGTCTGTTTCCACATTGATGTAGTCTGGTTCAGAGTCATCCTGATCTACATTAACATAATCCTGATCAGAGTCAGAGTTTACATCTTCATGATCACCATCATCCATATCTACAAGCTCATAGTCATCTTCAGCGTTCTCTTCATTCTGGTTATTATGGAGCACATCTTGCATATTAACTGCATCTTGGGATACAAAGTACATTGAAAAAAAAAAACCTGTTTTATTATTGTGGTAAGATGTTTAAGCATTGATATTTGCAGGCATCCAAAGTAAAGGTAAAGGACATTATTGAAATAATTCTCACCTTTTGAATGGGAGATTTGGATTTTCTTTTGTTTTTGTCTCTTCCTCACCAGGAAAATGATTAGCAGTGCAGACAATATGAGCAGTACAGCTGTTACCACAGCACCAATGATAATAACTGAAGAAGCTGAAGGAGAGATTTGAATGCATTAACAAGAGTACACCCTATCTTCAGAACGGCCGAATGATTCCATATTTTTCAGATAATTGTTTTAATTGATTAATCGGCTCGCTTATGAATCAAGGTGCGGTCACATTTATTGTTGCTATGCAAAATTTCACAGAATCTGTGCTATCAGGATTTTCGCATGAGGAAATAGTTCCCTATGTACAATATAGGTTTGCTCATAGAAACTAAGTCTGTGTCAAACCCAGTGCTTTTAAATTACACTGTAAAAAATGGTAATAATTGTAACAGTAAAATACTGTAAAATGCTACAGTAAAAACCTGTTCATCGGTTAATAGTAAGTTTCTGTACTATATACGATGAATAAATGTGATAACATTTAATGTATTTTTACAGTAAAATACTGTTAAAATTACAGTTTGGAAGTGAAAAAGAACAAGTCATTGTATAATTTACAGTGAAAAACCTTAAATTGACATTTCCAGAATTCCCTGCATGACACTTCACATTTGATGTTTCTTAGTTTTTTCTTATCAGTTGTGTACATTAGGGTTTTATTTTACATCTAACGTTGATAAATTAATGTTTGTTGCATTATTTTAGTATCATGTGTGTTTCGTGTTTGTGTGAATGACGAATGTGCACCTTCTGTATATTAGTATTGCCTTCTCAGCTTGTGTAAGAGCTGTTTGTGATTTATCATGTGACTTTCTCATAACCACCTGATTTTAGTGGTTATCAGTGTATTACAATGGTATAAAACAGATATTAGTACTTTAAAATGTTGTTTTTTATTTTATTATCATTATATTAGTTACATACAAAAGAGTTTTTTTTTTTTTTTACTGTGGATTTAAGTTGAGTCTGTAAAACCTAAAATGTTGCTACCATATTTTTTACTGTAAAGTTCTGGCAGCTAGTGATGGGAAGTCCGGTTCTTTTCCGCGAACCGGTTCTTTCTGACAGTTCGTTTCAATGAACCGGTTCAAAAAAACGGTTCATCGGTTCTTTTACGCCCAAACGTAATGACGTGTCATTCGCGATGACGTAATGATATCAAGTCTATCGTCCCGGGCCGGGATGAAAATACACATTCAAATATATAAAGTCAATAATCATAACTTCAGTCAGTTAAAACATCATAATCATGATCTGAAAAGTTTACAATTAAGTTTTGCAACTAAGCACCCAAATACAGTAAGAGGCAGTGATGTGCATACCAGGATTTAAGCCTTGAAGATATAAAGTAAATAAATTAGTTGTCATCAACGCAGAAACCATAATCCACTTACTATACATAATCCATTGCGATTTATTTGTTATTAAATAAACTTATGTGTCGCCAGATTGCCCTTCATTCAAGTCCTCGGTTTGCCTGCACTCATAACATTAGCACAGAATGAGTTGTCCAAAAGAACCAGTTCGGTTCAGGTTCAGACATGCTGTGTCAGTCATAGTAGGCAATCATGTACTGGTAGCTTCACGCTGAATCACGAATGCGCAGTATCATCAATTCATCGGTTCTCAAATCGGACATGTCCAAAAGAAACGGTTGCTTACTGTGCTTACTGGAGACGCGAACCGTTTCAAACGATTCAGTACGATTTGGTGAACTGGTTCAACCGGTTCACTAAGAAGAACTAGTTAAATCAAACGATTCGTTCTTGAACCGGACATCACTACTGGCAACACCTGCTGGTATTTTACTGTAAATGTCACAGATTTTTTCTTCTTAAGATTTTTGTCACAGATTACAGTGTATACCAGCACTCTTGAAAATGAACATTTTAATTTAGGGAAAAACTAAATCCTCATACCTGAACATATGACTCCAGCATCATTACTCTGAGGACAATTATTTTCATTCCTTTGAGGAGAGCACTGTGTGATGGATGACTCTTCTCCCTTACAGTTGACGTGATGATCCCCTACCCCAAAAAGAGCCCGGCCATCTGCAATAACAGCTCTTCCACATCCCAATTGTCTGCACACCACAGCAGCTTCATCAATGTCCCAGGAGTCACCACACACTGTCGCCCATGTGCCATTATAGTGGATCTCAACTCTTCCCGAGCAGTCATCTAGACCATTGACCAGACGGAACTCCTTTTGATCTCCTGTTAAACAGAGAAAATATTCAACTCACATATTCTCAAATAAAACAACCTGCTTTCTGTTTAAAGGGATAGTTAATCTAAATATGAACATTCTATTACACTGTAACATTTACACACCCTCATTTCAATGCAAACCTGTACAACTTTTTTTCTTCTGTGGAACAAAAAATCTTCTGCCTGTTCTTTTAATAATTTACAAGTGAAAGAACAGTTTGTTCCATTTGATAATAAATCAAATGATAATAAATAGTTGCTTCACAAAAGAGCTTTCAGAAGTTTGTTTGCCCATATAATCTTTACGCTATTAAGGTTAAATGTATTTGGCTTGCTGTCCACAGTGGAGGGGCTCAAGGAAGCAGCCTCAACTCGAGCGAAGATATACCCTCTGGTGGGTCTACTAATGCTTGGGAGATGAGTATGGGTAAAGTTGGGGAGGTGGAGGGATGCCAAAACAACTGATGCTGTAGCAAAGTATGCAGCTGCTTACATCCCCGGAAGTTATTTGAAATAGATGGGTTCTCTCCTCCCAAAATGACGTTTAGGAACTTCTCTTAAATGATTTACTCAGCAATCTGACTGACGCAGTTCTCAAGTTCTGACTCAGTAATCATAGCAATTAACAGCTTATTCGGTTTATAATGAATAAAATTTCAGTTTGATCCTCACACAAGGGTACTGCATGGTTTCAGAAGTCCTGGAATACATTTATGGACAGTTTATGTACTTGAAAGCTTAAAAAGTAAACTTTCTTTGTAATTGCATGGAAAGAAATGACCAGCACAGTCTTCAGCATTTCTCCTTTCTCTTTTTGTATTCCAAGGAAGAAAAAAAAAGTAATTCAGATTAGCTAAAATTGAGTTAACTATCCCTTTATCAATAATATAGAGATGTTTATCAAAGCTTTTGCAACATTGAGAGGATCACTCACCAGTAACCAGGTAATCATTCAAAACCATGACTGCCAAAGAGAAAACATAAGGGAGTTCTTTCATTAGAAAACAATTTATCACAAAGATTTTATGTATATAATTTAACAAGTGTTTTGCTGCCTTGCATTTTTTTTGATAACATAAATATGACACATTTGTTTCCAATAAAAACTGCTTTTTATGTAGGACAACAGTGCTACCAACACCCCTATATATATATATATATAGAGAGAGAGAGAGAGAGAGAGAGAGAGAGAGAGAGAGAGAGAGAGAGAGAGAGAGACATAATCCATTGCGATTTATTTGTTATTAAATAAACTTATGTGTCGCCAGATTGCCCTTCATTCAAGTCCTCGGTTTGCCTGCACTCATAACATTAGCACAGAATGAGTTGTCCAAAAGAACCAGTTCGGTTCAGGTTCAGACATGCTGTGTCAGTCATAGTAGGCAATCATGTACTGGTAGCTTCACGCTGAATCACGAATGCGCAGTATCATCAATTCATCGGTTCTCAAATCGGACATGTCCAAAAGAAACGGTTGCTTACTGTGCTTACTGGAGACGCGAACCGTTTCAAACGATTCAGTACGATTTGGTGAACTGGTTCAACCGGTTCACTAAGAAGAACTAGTTAAATCAAACGATTCGTTCTTGAACCGGACATCACTACTGGCAACACCTGCTGGTATTTTACTGTAAATGTCACAGATTTTTTCTTCTTAAGATTTTTGTCACAGATTACAGTGTATACCAGCACTCTTGAAAATGAACATTTTAATTTAGGGAAAAACTAAATCCTCATACCTGAACATATGACTCCAGCATCATTACTCTGAGGACAATTATTTTCATTCCTTTGAGGAGAGCACTGTGTGATGGATGACTCTTCTCCCTTACAGTTGACGTGATGATCCCCTACCCCAAAAAGAGCCCGGCCATCTGCAATAACAGCTCTTCCACATCCCAATTGTCTGCACACCACAGCAGCTTCATCAATGTCCCAGGAGTCACCACACACTGTCGCCCATGTGCCATTATAGTGGATCTCAACTCTTCCCGAGCAGTCATCTAGACCATTGACCAGACGGAACTCCTTTTGATCTCCTGTTAAACAGAGAAAATATTCAACTCACATATTCTCAAATAAAACAACCTGCTTTCTGTTTAAAGGGATAGTTAATCTAAATATGAACATTCTATTACACTGTAACATTTACACACCCTCATTTCAATGCAAACCTGTACAACTTTTTTTCTTCTGTGGAACAAAAAATCTTCTGCCTGTTCTTTTAATAATTTACAAGTGAAAGAACAGTTTGTTCCATTTGATAATAAATCAAATGATAATAAATAGTTGCTTCACAAAAGAGCTTTCAGAAGTTTGTTTGCCCATATAATCTTTACGCTATTAAGGTTAAATGTATTTGGCTTGCTGTCCACAGTGGAGGGGCTCAAGGAAGCAGCCTCAACTCGAGCGAAGATATACCCTCTGGTGGGTCTACTAATGCTTGGGAGATGAGTATGGGTAAAGTTGGGGAGGTGGAGGGATGCCAAAACAACTGATGCTGTAGCAAAGTATGCAGCTGCTTACATCCCCGGAAGTTATTTGAAATAGATGGGTTCTCTCCTCCCAAAATGACGTTTAGGAACTTCTCTTAAATGATTTACTCAGCAATCTGACTGACGCAGTTCTCAAGTTCTGACTCAGTAATCATAGCAATTAACAGCTTATTCGGTTTATAATGAATAAAATTTCAGTTTGATCCTCACACAAGGGTACTGCATGGTTTCAGAAGTCCTGGAATACATTTATGGACAGTTTATGTACTTGAAAGCTTAAAAAGTAAACTTTCTTTGTAATTGCATGGAAAGAAATGACCAGCACAGTCTTCAGCATTTCTCCTTTCTCTTTTTGTATTCCAAGGAAGAAAAAAAAAGTAATTCAGATTAGCTAAAATTGAGTTAACTATCCCTTTATCAATAATATAGAGATGTTTATCAAAGCTTTTGCAACATTGAGAGGATCACTCACCAGTAACCAGGTAATCATTCAAAACCATGACTGCCAAAGAGAAAACATAAGGGAGTTCTTTCATTAGAAAACAATTTATCACAAAGATTTTATGTATATAATTTAACAAGTGTTTTGCTGCCTTGCATTTTTTTTGATAACATAAATATGACACATTTGTTTCCAATAAAAACTGCTTTTTATGTAGGACAACAGTGCTACCAACACCCCTATATATATATATATATAGAGAGAGAGAGAGAGAGAGAGAGAGAGAGAGAGAGAGAGAGAGAGAGAGAGAGAGAGAGCGAGAGAGAGAGAGCGAGAGAGAGAGAGTTCACGTATTTGTAAAAAGCCCAAATAGGAACCTTCTAATTTACATTAATGAATATTTATTCATTTAATGAATATCATTTAATATAATACTAAATTAAATGGTATCAATTTAAAAACTGTTTACCAAGTGTAAAATCAAGCAGTAGTCTCAGCATTTCTGTTCTTTCATTGATCGATGTGTGTGATGTCTATCTCTGTAGCTCTTCACATGTTCTCTGAGTCAGTCAGACACAAGTTGGGTGCGAACAGAACTACAACAGTTCCGCATTTCACTGATCCCTCCCCTATCTCACAAAACACTTCAGCTTCTCAGTGAGTTAACTAGGAGAAATGGCTCAATATTTATGTTCATGTAGAAACTAACCAACACTGAGATCTGTAAAATACCCGCTACCCTCTAAACTAAATATTCTCTGTGCTAAATATTTAGCACTTGTTTTTCAGCATTCTGCCAGCTGATGTGCACTGTAACATGCTAGTCAGTTTGCACTAGACTTTACAAATAAATAATTTATCAGCTTATTTTGTTCTTTATAAAGCAAACAAGTTGCTTTTTCAAACGATGCTTGAAATCTCTTTGAGGGCTAGTGCTGTAAATGTGCTGCTACACTTGGACATCCTCACATTGTTCACACATTTTTTAGGTTTCTGAAACTTGTGGTTATTAAATGTGTGTATTCAAAGACAGACCACACTGGCCAATACAGACTATTAGTACAGCCTACTTCCACCCTTTATGCTTAGCAGAGCTGTATTGTCAGTCCAAGTAAGTCTACTTTTCTAAGTTAGTGCCTCAGATCTGAAACCATTAAGCTACACCCCCTTACACGGTGCAAACTTTATAGAAGAACTGTCAGAAACCTGGTGAGCTGTCATAAAAAAAAACTTAAAAAAAAAAAAACTTAAAAAAAAAAAACTGATATGACCGACAGAGAGAGGGAAGACAGGGCAGATGCTACTGGCCACTACCTCACACACACCTTGAAGTCTCACTTTAACCCAGAGGTGTCAAACTCAGTTCCTGGAGGGCTACAGCCCTGCAGAATTTAGTTCCAACACACATGGCTACTGCAGTTTTCAAAAAAAGCCTGAACTTGATTAGCTGGATCAGGTGCATTAAGTTAGGGTTGAATCTAAACTCTGCAGGGCTGTTTCCCTCCAGGAACTGAGTTTGACACCCCTGCTTTAACCTAACCTCATCTAAAGGGCGTTTCACACTGAGCGCGATGCGAAAAAGTGAGGCGAATCGCCGACGAACGGTGCTTTCACACCGAACGCGAAACGATTGATCACCTTCTGCTAATTCACGCCTGCACGCTAGGTGGCGCCGACCAGCAATGCATTTTTCCTCAGATATGTATCTAGTCTATGGATTTAACATCGTCCGCTGCTCAATATACAGCAAATTTACCAAATTGTTGTATATAATATTTCCTATTACAATCATATATTAAATGCATGTGTAAATATTAGCAATGTAGGATTTTCTTTCTTCAAACAAGCTGCTGGGAATACAAGCTTTTCCACAGAATCGTGGAAAGGCCCACCACAACTACAAACAGTCGCTACTATCTCACAATATTACAGTAATCCTATCGCATTTAGGGCAAATAACATCACAAAACCCATGGTGACCCTGCTGACAAAAACAACAGAAACCATCACAGAAATTCAAATGATTTCCACTACAAATACCTTTACAAACATTACAAACCATCAACTTTTAACCATTAAAGGGGTCATATGATGTTGCTAAAAAAGAACATTATTTTGTGTATTTGGTGTAATGAAATGTGTTTATGCGGTTTAAGGTTCAAAACACATTATTTTCCACATACTGTACATTATTGTTTCTCCTCTATGCCCCGCCTTTCTGAAACGCATCGATTTTTACAAAGCTCATCGGTCTGAAAAAGCGAGGTGTGCTGTGATTGGCCAGCTATCCAGTGCGTTGTGATTGGCCGAATACCTCAAGCGTGTGATGGAAATGTTACACCCCTTAACATACTGTGATGCCTTGTCCCGTCTGGAGCCATGAGACAAAAACATTAAAACCCATTATAAATGAGGCATTTGTTGCATCCAGTGGGGACATAATTACGGATTATAATGACATATACTGTCTTTTTACGCGTTGTGTTGCATCGCGCCGCGTAAACATAAAACCATGTCTGCATTTGTGATCGGAGAAATGACAAACAACAAGTGCTACTCTACACTGCTCAAAAACTCGCGTTTGAATCGTCAGTGGCAAATTCTTTAAATATAAAAAACGAACTTACAGTCTGTGAGTCAGAACAGCCGGCATTGTAGTCTACTCTACCAGCATCAGGAAACAGTCCTCCAAAAAATGTGCTATACACATCTGAATATTTGGGTTGAAGTGTTCTGGAACAGTGTTGTAAATACAACTTAACCACTGATTTCTAGTCGTGTCCTCTTTTGGAAAGCCAAACAAAGTAGTTTTGCTTTCACAACGAAACACACAGCGGCCTAGAGTGAGCAAAGGCGGGTGGGCTAGAGAACAGCGCGGCCGGCAATTTCGACGAAAGAGCGTCCGGAAGGACCCCGGGCTGGACTCCGCTTCGTCCACGGTGAAAGCCGATCCGGTAATCCACAGAGCGAAGTTGATGTATTTCCTCAGCGACCAGCACGGATCAGCTCCAGGCATTAGTCTTTGCAACTTTACAGATCTTCTTTTTGCACCAAGAGCTTGTAACACTCCAAAGAGAAAGGACAAATTTAAATCGCATCATATGACCCCTTTAATAAATAAATAAATATGCCCCGACACCAACAGCGTATAAAGGAGAATTATTTAAATACTTAACTAGTTTACTACAAATGAAATAAGTTCATTAACAATGGTATAACAATTAAATAATTCATTAAATATTTTTAGATTTAATTTAGTACCTACATTTTTTAAGTTTTATCTTTAACTGTAAAAGCTGTTAAATATATTCAGTCAACACAAACTTGTTACAGTTGTAGTTTTGCTACTCTGAATTTAGTCTGAATCACTTAATGCACAGCTCTATTTTGACAAACCAGGAAGGAATCATGCATATGGTCAACTGACAGAGCATTAGTGACTGCTTTGAAATATATTGGATACAATATTTTTCATACTTTTCACCAGTTTTCCCTTAACTGAACTAGATCTGTTTTTTTCCTCTCTCTCTCTTTTTACATTACACACAAACTGAACTTTACATTTATTGCATGAAATGAACAGTATTGTACACCTCAAAGGGAATTTAAACTGAGTTACGATATCAAATTCTACTTACTGTTTGATGTTTTATTTTATTGTGTTGTGATGTGATTGTATTTTTATTATTATTGTAACAGTAAAGTGTTATTTTTACATTCAACTTCTGGTCTCCTGTATAAGTTTTATATCCTCCCCACTCCTTTCGAGTCTAGAACTGGTACAGTGAATATTTGCATTGGAGGACGCAAGTGCTACACACTGTGTGTGTGTGTATGTGTGTGTGTGTCATCAATCCATTATCAGTGCCTTGGAAATTTTTGCACTAATAATACTTTTCACCAGTTTTCCCTTAACTGAACTAGATCTGTTTTTTTCCTCTCTCTCTCTTTTTACATTACACACAAACTGAACTTTACATTTATTGCATGAAATGAACAGTATTGTACACCTCAAAGGGAATTTAAACTGAGTTACGATATCAAATTCTACTTACTGTTTGATGTTTTATTTTATTGTGTTGTGATGTGATTGTATTTTTATTATTATTGTAACAGTAAAGTGTTATTTTTACATTCAACTTCTGGTCTCCTGTATAAGTTTTATATCCTCCCCACTCCTTTCGAGTCTAGAACTGGTACAGTGAATATTTGCATTGGAGGACGCAAGTGCTACATACTGTGTGTGTGTGTATGTGTGTGTGTCATCAATCCATTATCAGTGCCTTGGAAATTTTTGCACTAATACTGTGTGCTGCACAAATCACCTCCCATGTTGTTTATGTTGTGCATGTTACTGCAGGTTGTGCAACATACAATGAACAATGTCTACATTGGGGTGAGTTTAAGCAAACTGCAAGTACTATTTGTTAGTAAAACAAATACAGTGGAAAGGTGCACCTTTAGAATAAAAAAATAAAAAAAGTATTCCCATATAGACATGAACAGTCACCCAACTGGATCCCCTTAAAATCCTATAGAAAAGATCCTACAGGATATTTATGTCTTGTCCTATAAGACTATTCCTATCAGAATCCTATAGGAACGGTTCCAAAATATGATAGAAATTCCCATTAGAATCCTGTACAATTTTCTTAGTGGAATCATTTAGGATTTTTTGACAAGGGTAGTTTTCTTGAAACTTAGCAACTTGCAGCTCCAGTAGTAATGAAAAGATATATCGAACTCTGTCATGGAAACTAGCATGTATAAACCTTAATTCAACTATTTAATAATTGATTAAAAAGAAATGTATAGGCCTACCTGTAAGATATTACGCTCTACCCACATTGGCCGCACGGTTTGGAAAATGGATGGATGGGTGATTCAGCTGCAGGCGCCATCTTTTGGTCAGACGCGGAAATTCATTGAGCACGACCTTTGCAGTTCATTTACGGTTTTTAAAAAATTGCTTAGCCTAAGACATTAAAAGTGGTACTTGAGACCCACTCATCGAAACCATTCACTCATATACCTATTATTTAGACCAAGTCTGCAAAACTACAAGCTTTAATCTCAGTTTGCTATTGTAAAACAAACTTTTTGCAACTCTAAACACAGTTCTCTGCATTACACATCATTCAAAACTAACAGCTCTTTTGTTTAATTTAGGGAACACTGCCATTTACACGCCACACTCATTTACTGATAACTAACATGCAGTAATCAGGTGAAAACACTTATCTATAATTATAATTTGTTCACTAAGAAATCAAAACTTAGTGTTTTGAGAATTTAATTATTTTACCTTGCCTTGCATTTCTGTTTACAATGTATATACCGGTATATATATATATATATATATATACACAGAGTAGGCCTAGTCAAGATTTGAAGTGGATCAAAACCTTTCATCAAAGTTGTCCTAAAATCAAAATGCATTAATTCTTGTCTTAGGACAACTTTGATGATCAACTTTTTTGAACCACTTCAAATGTTGACTACTGTATATATATATATATATATGGATGCACCGAATTTTCGGCCACTG